TGCCTATCCCTAGTTCCTTGCCCTGCCTTACCATACAACCCTGCCATTAACTTGTTTTTCTAAAACCAGATTTTTAAATTTCAGAATTTAGATGAACAGTGAGAATGCTTTCAGTTGGAAATGAAAGAAAACCCAGTTCACAGTGGGCTCTGCCGTGGGGCCTCTACTGGCTCACGTGAGTGAGAGGCCTCAAGGTCTGTGTCCCAGGCCTTGGTTTCTGTCCTTTATTCTACTCTCCCCTGTGTCATCTCCATCCTGAAATTGGCTTCTATCACAATGACAAAAACAGCTGCTGGGTTCCAGATAGAGCTGTAGGGGACAGTGCTGGCTGGCCGTGTGCTTTCTTCCCCAGAGAGCCCCGGTGAACCCCCCTCATACATCCATTAAACACAAACCTTCAACGTACAGGTGCCTGCAGCATTCCAGGTGCTGGGGAGACGGAAGTGCTGCACAGACCTGACCCTTATGGGGAGAAGGACAAACAAAGGGAAGAGCCCAGATTCAGGGTACGTAGGTGAGGAGGGCGGCAGGTGAGGGGCGCAGGGTGCCAGGCAGGGAAGGGGCTGCCGTTTCCCCACAGCATACAGCTAAGGTGGCAGTGAGCACACGCCTAGGGAGGCAGGGAGGAGCCGTGTGGGCACAGCAAGGCACCGGCCTTAACACCTACTCTTCTTATGCCGTAGTTTAAAAAATACATCCTGTTCTTCCATTTTTTGTTTCACTTCTCTTGACATTTGGCATGAATTGCTTCTGCTCTTAAGTTTGGTTACTTTAAATTTCATGACCTCGTGTTCTGATCTCCTACCTAATCTCATTCTCCTTCCCTTGGGAAATTATACTTGTGTCTGTCATCTGCCCTCTGGCCGTGCTGGAGAGCTCGCGGGGACTAATAACTCATGTGGTTGTTAGTGATGGCCACTTTCTCTGTCAACAGATTCCACACTCAGCTTCCCGCTCGTTTTGTTTATTGACAATGCTTCTTTGAGATGAGAACATTTCCTGATAACTTTCATTTTAAATGTCGACAAATTACCTGCTTCCTTTTTAAGACTTCCTGTGGCAACCTCTGGGCTGGTTCCCATCTTATTATGGGATGCGAATGTGGCATACGTGACCCTTTTTCCATTTTCCTGGCTGGCCGGCCCTGAACCTTCCCTCGGCTTCTCCTTCTCCGGCTTACTCGTTAGTGGAGACGATGTTTAGACGACTGGCCACTTGCGCCGTCTTGCCACCCTTTCACATTATGCTGTTTTGAAATTTGACATTTTTGATTTTGGGGAAATGTCTTTCAAACTTATGCATTCAACTAATGCTTATTATGCTAGGAATTATTTTCTATGAATAAATATTTACTACTGAGTTAGATCATACAACTGTCAACTTTGCTCAGTAAATAAAAATGCCCTGAGGTTGTTGGTCTTTAACTGCTTCCTCCTCTCGGTGTTTTGTTATTTGCTTTTCTGTGGGTGGCTCACTCAGGCCTAGTCACCACTTTTCCTATTAAGTCACCCCGTCCCTATTTTAGGCCTGTGTCATTGTGGAGAGTGTTTTAGTACTATCAGTGCTCAGCTCCCTCTGCTTGTTATCAGCTTCCTTGACTAGAACCCAATAGAAACTTCATTTTTTATTTTGTGACTTTTTGTTTTTGTTTTTGTTTAAACTGAAATATTAATGACTGTCAAGTAGTTTTATGATTCTATTACATAGATCACTCCTTGGGAATTCAGAAAGATTCTGATCACTTTTTCTCTTTTCAGCATTTTATTTTTATTTACTGGAATCAAAAAAATTCCCTGTTTTCTATAAAGCTGAGTGACTATGCAAACACATAAATTTGTGTCTAAATAATTCAGTTTGGGATTGAAAAGTGTTAAATCTTTTTCTTCTACTTTTATATATGATTTTCAACTTTGTTATGTGTACAATCTGATTAAATACCGTAAATTCTGACCTTTAAGGTCAGAGTCATCAAAAAATGGGAGAAGGAGAAACCCTTTTGTTGTGGAGCAATTGAAGAGGCTACGAAACTTTATAGACCCAGGAAGGGGCCAGTGGGTGGCCTCTCATGGACAGGTGACATTTCCTGAGGTCTCACAGCTTTGGGCAGTCAGGTACCTCAGAGAGAGAGAAAGTGTAAGAGAGAAGTGACCTGGGGAAGGGTGAGGAAAAGAGACTCCTTGGGAGACCTTGCTTTTTCTGTGGACAGATAAAACCACAGCTAATCTCCCTCACTGATTCAAGGTGGCTTTACCATCATGCTACACTCTCAAGACAACACAGCTGAAACATGATGGTTACTAGAATATACTTTTGCTTCCAAGAAGTTTGGGCAAGGTGACAGGCAGAATAGTCAGAGGGAGGTGGAAGTGTTCCCTGTCCTGGTTATACACCTGGGACTAGGAGAAGGGAGCTATCTTAATGGCTACAGCCAAGAAGGGAGACTAGAAGCTTCTACTTGGGACGTGAGGAGAGATGAAAGTGGGGCCACATGTAGCCACTTAAGCCAGCAGTGAGCTGCTGTCTCTCGCATTCCTGCCAGGCCTGAGTCTGCATATCAGTATTAAAGTGGACTTTGTTTCATGGGGCATTTATTTAGCAGATTGAAAGTTCATTCTACACCTGGTCTCGGTATCATTTTCTAGACCCTTAGAGGTTATTCTTAATCTTCACAATTTATCTGAGAACATGTCAAGAAATAAAGATGGCTGCTTTATAATTTGACAACATATTCTCCCCCTGCTTTCGTGCACTTATAGATGACATTCTATGTACTTTAAGGTCAATTTCACTTTAAGAATTGTGTATTGATATAGTTTGGACATTTGTCCCTTCCAAATCTCATGTAGAGATCTGATCTCCAGTGTTGGAGGTGGGGCCTTTTTCTATCTCATGGTGGATTTGCAGATATCTGCAAATATCACTTGTTGCTTATGCTCATCAGTGCAGCAAAATTATTGTAATGTAATTGTCAGACCACTGCTGAAGCAGTGAGCTCATATATTGTGATCTTATGTATTTTATTTTATGCACTTAAAAACATTATTCTAAGAGAAGCCCTAGAAATAAAAGAGGTCAAAAATACCTCCATTCCTGGGATTTGAGTAGGTAAGTCTTGTGATCTGAGTTACCACTTTATAAACATTGCCTAGCAGCTTGGGGGAGGATGGATTGTTGGGGCAAAGGTGGAAACATGAAGACACAGTGCGATGAGTTCTAACAACACTGGGGAGAGGTGGTGGTTGGCGGTGTCAGAACTGGAGGGGTTGAGAAGTGGGTGGATTCTTAGGTGCATTTTGAAGGGGGAACCAGCCTGATGTTGGGCTGAAAGAGGCATTCGAGAAAGCCAAGAGGAGACCAAGGATGGGCCTGAACAACTGGAAGGATGGAGTTGCCATTAACTAAAATGGGAAAGATGGTCGGGTGGAGGGCTCTGGAGTGTGAGCGTTGAGATGACTGTTGGACAGCCAGGTCTCCTTCATCTGGAGGATGCTGTGTCCTTTAGATTAAGCCTACCCAAGTCTTCTACAGTATTTTAAGTCTTTTGTGTGATACCAGTTTCTGAGAAAGGTGTATTAAACTCTACCTACAAACATGATGTTGAATTAGCCAAACTCTTCTCCTAACCCTGTCAGTTTTCACTTCATTATCCTGAGGCTTGTTGTTAGACACATAGGATTTGATATAGCTGTATTGTCCTAGTGAATTTTTACTTTCGCGATTGAACAATGACCTTTTTCTCAGAATGATTTTTGCCTTAGGTCTCATCTACCTGTTATTTATATAGTAATACGAGCTTACTTTTTTGGCTGTTAGTTCCCATTCCCTTCTCCTTTTCATTTTCCTTTCAACTTTCTTTGGTGTTACATATTTTTGCATAGCAGCTTTATTGACATGTAATTCACATACTATACAATTCACCCACTTCAAGTGAACGACTCTGTAGTTTTTAAGTATATTTACAATGTTGTGTAGCCATCACCTCTATCTGGTTCTAAAACATTTGGCTGTCACTCCCATTCTAATCTCTTCCCAGCCCTGTCAACCACTAATCTACTTTCTGTCTTTATAAATTTGCCTATTCTAGAAACTTCATATGAATGAAATTATAGGATCTGTGACCTTTTGTATATGGCTTCTTTCACTTGGCATAATGTCTTTAACGTTCATCCATGTTGTAGCTTGTGTCAGGATCCCATTCCCTTTATGACTAAATAATATTCTACCTCATGCATATAGCTCATTTTATTTATCCATCAGTTGAGGGACATTTGGGTTGTTTGGTTTTTTTGGGCTACTATGAGTAATGCTGTTAGGAACATTCATGTGCAAGGTTTTGTATAGACCTATGTTTTTAATTCTCATGAGTAATTTCCTAGTACGTCTGTGGTCTTGTTTGTTACATTTACATCTTTAATTCATTTGAACCAGATTTTGGGGTAAAATGGTCAAGTTCTTGTCTTTTATTTAAGTGGTGCTCATAAGTATTAAGGTGATATTAATTGATCATCTTTTTGCCTTATCAACATTGGGAGGAATCACATTGTCCTAATGAGTAATAAGACCCTAGTGACCCGACAGAATTCAGTGTAAGACCAGCTGCATACCCTGCAGGACACACTACAGATTGCGAGTGTAAGGTTCTGGCCTGGGGTGGGGAAGTTGGGCGCACCTCCACTCCAGCCGGTGGCAGACAGGCTTACAGTCTCTCCACAGGATGCATTTTTAATTAAAGGCAGTTTCAGTGTAACTTTGTGTTGTCTTTGGTTAATGGCATTACCACTGAATTTTATCTTTGCACATTTGTGTGTGTGTTTCCAGGTTTTCTGGAATGAAATGAGTTGCTTTTATAATAAAATTATTTAAATCCCAATGTTCTATACATATATATGTTACTGGATATTTTTTATATAAGTGTGATATATTATAATTTTGTCTCCATTCAGGGGGACACATATTTAGTACTTTAATCTTAAAAAATATTTCTCTCCTTACTTACCCAGGTCCATTAATATCAGATTAGCCACTCTCTTGGATACTCCTGGTGTGGAGAATCTCGTCAGCACCCTCCTGCTGAATAAAAGCATCCTGGAGGATTTGACCCAATATAACAAGGCTCGCAGAGACCCTGTAAGTACTAATGTGTCCAGACCTCATAATATGGGACCACTGTGACCCACATTGGTTCAGCCCTGAAGTTTCTGGACCTCAGTCGGGAACTTGTGGTGGGGACTGGCAGAGGTAGGTTCGGAAGATGGGAGCAAGAAGAGAGACCATGGAAACTGGGCTTTAAGGAAATGAGGCTATTTTCTTCACTGGTGGACCCTAAGAGAACTGATCTGATCCCCCAGATCCTTATCATGAAGGTGGGAAATTTGGACTTGATCCAGATAAATGTCAGAAAATGAGATAGAGCTTGGTGCTTGGTTGTTGGGGCTGGCAGATATGGTATGAAAGTAGCTTAGGAATTGTGGATACTGGTGCTCACCTAACAGCACTGGGCATCAGAGTCAGGGCCCAGGACCCCATCTCTGCCTACTGGATAATAAGCCTGACCCCCTTGTTGAGCTGGATGACTCCTCAGGGATTGGATGGGCAGGGAAAGACCCCATGTGATGAATGTTGTGGTCTAGTTTTCTAGCATGGCAGCGTGTGTGTGCACCATGGGCAAAGACCAGGATTGCGGTGGCCTTACATTAACACCGCTCGCTTAAGGGCCACTAGACATGGAGTGATGCATATAGGGAGAGAGACAAGTAGTTGCTTTTTTTTTCTATTTTATTTAGAAATAAATTTATTGAAGTATAACCAGTAAACAGTTTGATAGATTTCACAGTTTGAATATATGGTGTAACTAGCACCTATTCCAAGAAACAGACTAACCCCAGCCCACCAGAGGTCCCTCCGATGCTTCTGCTGGGGCACTTGACCACCATTTATTGTTCTATTCTACTCTTGAGGTCATCTGGTGAATTTCCAATTATTGTCTCTTATGGAAAAGAACACACACAAACAAACCTTCAGTTAATTTTTAAGTCATCTGGAGGGAGACACCAAATGCCTAAACATAGGGGCATATATGCAAGTGTTCAGCATTTATAAAGGCATCCAGTTAAAGTAAAACTCGCCCAGCACATGTCTCCTGCATTGGCTTGTCTTGATCTCTTTGTTTCTTCATTTTTAACTCCTTCCCTCCTGCCCCCTCTAAGCGGGTTGATAAAGAGTCCTGGTTCTCAAAAGTGTGACTAAGGAACTTCGTAGGTCTTCAAAACATGAACTTTCAGGGAGTCAGGTAAAAATTATTTTCCTAGAATGAGTAAGACATTAGATTTCTGCTTCACTGTTGTGATGTTTGTTCCCGTGTGCGAAAGCAATAGCGGGTAAAACTGCTGGCCCCCCAGCATGGATCAAGGAAGTGGCAGCACTCAGTCCAGGGGTCACAACACTCGTTACCATCATCCCGTGACAACAGAAAAGAAAAACACAATGGGATATCACTGCACCTTTATCAGAATCACTAAAACAAAAAATAGTGACACCACTAAATGCTCATGAACATGTGGGGAAATTGGATCACTCATGTGTCACTGGCATGAATACTGAGTGGTGCAGTTACTCTGGAAAACATTTTACCTATTTTTTTAAAAACCAAGAATGCAGCTATTATCAGACCGAGCAAATGCCCTCTTGGGTATTTATTCCAAAGAAATGGGGACTTTACATGAGTATTCCTAGCAGCTGGTATATCAGACCAGCTGTCCTTCAGCAGACAAATGGTTAAACTGACTGTGGCATGTCCACATCATGTGACCCTGCTCAACAGTGAAGGGACTGTTGACTCACACATCTGCTTGGTAAATCTTCAGAGAATTATGCTAAGTGAAAAACAAAATCCTAAAGATTATATATTGTGTATTCCATTTATATGACATTTTGAAGTGGCAAAATTTTAGAAATGGAAAATATATTATGTGGGCAACACAAGGGATTTTTTTTTTTTTTTTTTTGAGACAGAGTCTCAACCATCCCACTGGGTAGAATGCTATGGCATCACAGCTCACAGCAACCTCAAACTCCTGGGCTTAAGCGATTCTCTTGCCTCAGCCTCCCAAGCAGCAGGGACTACAGGCACCCACCACAATGCTTGGCCATTTTTTGGTTGCAGTTGTCATTGTTGTTTGGCAGGCCCGGGCTGGATTTAAACCCGCCAGCTCTAGTGTGTATGGCAGGCACCCTAGCCACTTGAGCTATAGGCACCAGGCCAGGCAACACAATTTTGGTGTTGGACTGTTCAATGTCATGGCTGTTAAGAAGCAACAAAACCATGTGAAACTCAGCACAAACACACCCACATGAACATGTATTGGTGATAGTTTCCTGATGGCCATAATTATACTTTGCTTTTGCAAAATGTTACCATTAGGGGATACTGAACAAAGTGTACAAGGAATTTCTATATTATTTCTTACAACTGCATGTGAACCTATACCTATCTCCATTAAAATTTCGATTTAAAAAAGGGAAAAACCAGTTTATTACACTAAGGAAAATCTTTGAGGAAGCAGTTAAATTTTAATATTAACCTTGTTAAATCTCAACCCCTGAGTCCATGTATTTTAAATATTCTTTGTAACAAAGTGAGAAATGTGTATAAAGTACGGGGGTTGGGGGTAGTACCTAAAGTTTGTGTGGAATTTACAAAGTAAAACTATTTTAAATTGCATATGAACTTTAGGGACACCCTGTATTTCTGCAGCATCTTGAGGCATACTGGTTATTTGATAAGGAAACATTTCTGTAATTGTTTTGAGTTGCATGCTAAACTAGCTATCATTTTCACCTGAAAGAACAACTGACAGACAAAATATGGTTTTTTCAACTTGCATAGTCCCCTCTTAAAACAAAATAGAATTTAAGGAAACCAGTATCTGCCACCATGAGCTTGGCAACTTCCCAATATTTAAAGGTCTTTTTCTGATGAGTTTGGTGATGATATTAACAAATGTGATGTTTTGACATTTTGTAAAGAAGCAGATCAACACTTGGTAAATGTGCCTTACCATGGAATAAAAGTTAAACCCAACAGCAACAGATATCTTCATACTCAAACAAAGTCATGGAAACTAAATAACCTTAGGCTCAATGATAGCTGGGTAAAAGATGAGATTAAGAAGTCAATCATCAGATTTTTGGAACAAAATGATAATGAAGACACAAACTGTGAAAACCTGTGGGGTACTGCAGAGGCAGTCCTAAGAGGGAAATTTATAACATTAGAAGCCTTCATCAAGAAAACAGAAAGGGAGAAAGTCAACAACTTAATGGGTCATCTCAAGCAACTGGAAAAGGAAGAACAATCCAACCCCAAACCCAGCAGAAGAAAAGAACCAAAATTAGAGCAGAGTTAAATGAAATTGGAAAAAAAAAAGAATCATTCAGAAGATCAACTAACAAAGTTGGTTCTTTAAAAAGATTAGTAAAATTGATAAGTCTTTGGCTAGCCTAACCTGAAACAGAAAAGTAGAATCTCTAATAATCAGAAATGATAAAGGAGAAGTAACAACAGACACCACAGAAACTCAAAAAATCCTCAGTGATTACTACAACATTTCTATTCTGAGAAATATAAAAATCTGGAGGAAATGGACCAATAGACACAACCAGAAAGAATTAGAAAGTTTGAATAGACCTATATCAAGTACTGAAATAGCATCAACTATACAAAATCTTTCAAAAAGGAAAAGTTTGGGACCTGATGGCTTCACATCAGAATTCTACCAAACCTTCAAAGAAGAACTAGTACCTATGTTACATAACCTTTTCCAAAACATAGAAAAGGAAGGAATCCTCCCCAACATATTCTCTGAAGCAAATATCACCTTGATCCCCAAACCAGGTAAGGACCCAAGAAAGAAAGAAAACTATATACCAATATCATTAATGAATATCAATGCAAAAATATTCAATAAGATCCTAGCAAACACAATCCAACCACACATCAAAAAAATTATACACCATGATCAAGTTGGTTTTATCCCAGGGTTACAAGGTTGGTTCAACATACGTAAATCTATAAATATAATATACCACATAAATAAAATAAAAATCAAAGACCATGTGATTCTATCAATTGATACAGATATCATATTGAATGGAGTAAAATTGAAAGCATTTCTACTCAGATCTGGAACTAGACAAGGATGCCCATTGTCTCCACTGATCTTCAATATGGTAATAGAAGTCCTAGCCATCACAGTCAGGCAAGAGAAGGCAATCAAGGGTATCCAGATGGGGACAGAGGAGGTCAAACTCTCTCTTTGTGAATGACATGGTCTTATACCTGCAAAACCCCAGGGACTCAACTACAAAGCTCTTATAAGTGATTAAGGAATATAGCAGTGTCTCAGGTTACAAAATCAATACTTTCAAATCAGTAGCTTTTATATATAGTCAAGGATTCCCTTTAAAGTAGTGCCAAAGAAAAAATACCTGGGAATTTAACAAAGGATGTGAAAGATCTCTATAATGAGAATTATGAAACCCTGAGAAAAGAAAGAGCAGAAGATGTTAACAAATGGGAAAACATAACCATGCTCATGGCTGGGAAGAATCAACATTGTTAAAATTTTTGTAGTACCCAAAGCAATCTACAGATTTAATGCAATCCCTATCAAAGCACCAATGCCATACTTTAAAGAACTTGAAAAAAATAGTACTTAATTTTATATGGGATCAGAAAAAATCTCAAGTAGTTAATACATTACTTAGAGAGAAAAATAAATCAGGAGGCATCACATTACCAGACTTCAGGTTATACTACAAAACTATAGTGATCAAAATAACATGGTACTGACACAACAGAGATGAATGATATATGGAACAGAATAGAGAATCTAGAGATGAACCCAAACACGCATCATCATTTAATTTTTTTTTTTTTTTTGAGACAGAATCTCACTTTCTTGCCCTGGGTAGAGCACCATGGCATCATAGCTCCCAGCTGCTTCAAACTCTTGGGCTCAAGAGACCCTCTTGTCTCAGTATCCCAAGTAGCTAGGACTATAGGCACCCACCACATGGCTATTTTTTAAAGATGGGGGTCTCACTCTTGCTCAGGCTGGTCTCCAACTCTTGAGCTCAAGTGATCCACCTGCCATGGCCTCCCAGAGTGCTGAGATTACAGGTGTGACCCACCACACCCAGCAATCGTTTGATCTTTGACAAGCCTAACAAAAACATACGTTAGGGAAAAGATTCCTCTTTAACAAATGGTGCTGGGAGAACTGGCTCATGACTGTAGAAGACTGAAACTGGACCCTCACCTTTCACCACTAACAAAAATTGATTCTCACTGGATAAAAGATTTAAATTTAAGACATGAAACTATAAAAATACTAGAAGAGAGTATAGGGAAAATGCTTGAAGATATTGACCTAGGAAACTATTTTATGAGGGGGACCCCTCCCCGTACCCCCTCCCACCACCAATTGAAGCAACACCAAAAATATATTACTGGGATTTGATCAAGCTAAAAAGCTTTGGCACAGCTAAGGGCACTGTAAGTAAAGCAAACAGCCTTCAGAATGGGAGATTTTTGCAGGTTATGATTCTGACAAAGATCTGATAACAATCTATAGAGGACTCAATCAATAAGAAAAGAACAAACAACCCCATTTCTTTGTGGGCAAGAGACTTGAACAGAAAATTCTCTGAAGATGACAGGTAAATCACCAACAAACACATGAAAAAATGCTCATCATCTTTAATCATCAGAGAAAGGCAAGTCAAAACCACTTTGACATATCACCTAACTCCAGTAAGATTAGCCCACATCACAAAATCCCAAAACTACAAATGTTGGCATGGATGTGGAGAGAAGGGAACACTTAAACATAGCTAGTGGGATTGCAAACTAATGCAGCCTTTTTGGAAAGAAGTATGGAGAATTCTCAAGGAACTAAAAGTTGACCTTCTGTTCCATCCTACAATTCCATTACTAGGTATCTACCCAGATGAATAAAAATCATTTTACAAAAAAGACATTTTCACCAAAATGTTTATTACAGCCCAACTCATAATTGCCAAGTTGTGGAATCCACCCAAATGCCCATTAGCGCATGAATGGATTAACAAATTGTGGTATGTGTACACCATGGAATACTGTGAAGCCCTTAAAAGGGTAGAGACTTCACATCTTTTATGCTTACCTGGTTGGAGCTGGAATGTATTCTTCTTAGTAAAGTATCTCAATAATGGAAAAAAGTATCCAATGTACTCAATACTATTATGAAGCCAATATATAATCACTTACATATTCATACAAATGATAAAACACAAATATAGCCCTGAAAGAAGGAGGGGATGGGGAGTGGAAAGGGTATTTGGTGGGATCTCACCTAATGTGCACAATGCAAGTGAACATTTCAAAACTAAGAGTAAATTATAAATGTCTTACCAAAAAAATAAGTGAGGTGATAGTTATGTTAATCAGTTTGATTTAAGCATTCCACATTGCATATCAAATCATTACATTATACCCTATAAATGTATAGTTATGATTTAATGAAAATTAAGTTAAAAAATTAATTAATGAATTAAAAATAAAATGTGCCTCCTGTTGTGAGCCATTATTTTCGAGATAAATAATGCATGATGTTACAGAAGCATGTATAGGTAAAAGATTCATTCAAAGGGCAAAGCAGACTGGCGAGTTTTAACACTGTGGAGAGGGACATATAAAATTCATTGATATGGTTTTCAGATTTCACGTTACAACCAATCTTTATAATTTTTTTTTTTTTTTGAGACAGAGCCTCAAGCTGAGCCCCTGGGTAGAGTGCCATGGCTTCACTGCTCACAGCAACCTCCAACTCCTGGGCTCAAGCGAGTCTCCTGCCTCAGCCTCCCAAGTAGCTGGGACCACAGGTGCCCGCCACAGCACCCGGCTATTTTTTGGTTGCAGCCATTATTGTTGTTTGGCAGGCCCGAGCTGGATTGGAACCCGCCACCTTAAGTGTATGTGTCTGGTGCCTTAGCCACTTGAGCCACAGGTGCTGAGCCACAACCAATCTTTAAACACTACCACTTGTTGAGATTGGTGGCACATCAAAGAAGAAGATCCATGATCATCTGAAAGGATTATTTAAATACTTCTCCTTTTTCCAACTACATATTTTTGTGAAGTCAGATTTTTTTTCATATACTTGTATTTCAACCAAACATATTGTAAGGGATTAAATACAAAGCAGATAGGATGAGAATCCAGCTGTCTTCTATTAAGCCAGATACTAAAGAGATTTGCAAAAATATAAAACAATGTCACTCTTTAAATATTTTTGTTTAGGAAAATGTAACTTTTAAATTAAACATACATTATACTAACATGCAATGTATTGTTATTTTTAATTTATGAATTTGGAATTCTGTTTTAAATTTATTAGTTAATAAACAAAAATGAATAAAAAAATGTAAAATTTTTCTAACACAGCTTTAATTTCTAACACATAAAATAGTGTATCATAAAATTGGAGCAGCACCAATTTAGAGTTAAGGAAAGCAAATTCTGAGTAAAAGGGACATGAGGTTTGACTCATAGATCCATCCTTACTACCTGGAGAACTTGGCAAATTACTCAACTGCTCTCCCCTTATTTTCTCATAAATGAAATAGATATGCAGTGATAATAATACTTACCTCCTGGAGTTGGTGTAGGATCTTCTAGACACAGGGAAGGATTAATACCCAACCCAAAGTAAGTGTTGGCAAATATTTTCTTTGATTGTCATGTGATCATGACTGAAACCCATTGTTGACCTTTTAGGGAAACATTGATAACAATGTTTTAAGGGTCTTAAAATATGTGCTTATCTTTTCAGGATGGAACACCACTGCAGGCATTTGTAGCCGAAGTTGCAGAACAGATAGTTGGCATTGCAGTGATCAGAAATGAAATGGTAAGTTGTGGAACAAAGCAGTTTCCTGGATTGTGCCTTATTATGTCACAGAGCAGCATGTGATGCCACTTTTGTTTTTACTTATTTAACATAAACACCTCTTTTTTCTGAAGGACATCATCATCATCTGCCCCATCCCTTGGAAGCTTTTCAATTTTACATTTTTTATTTTTTTTTTGCAGTTCAAAATGTTTCTTATTGTAAGAATAACATGAAAACATTCTCATTCTAAAAATTCAAATTAACCTTCCACCATCAAAAAAAAAAACCCAAACAACCTCACTGCCCTCCCGGAAAGGATTGCTACTGTAGTCAGGCGTTTGTTTTTGCACTTAATCACATGCTTTGTGTGTGTGCACATGTGTATGTAGGAGCACATGTGGGGGGTACACATGGATGTGCACATGTGTGTGGGTGCATGTGTGTGGGTACACGTGTGTGGGCGCACGTGTGTGTGGGTGCACATGTGTGCAGGTGCACCTGTGTGGGGGTACACATGTGTGTGCAGGTGCACATGTGTGTGGGTACACGTGTGTGTGGGTGCACGTGTGCGGGTACACGTGTGTGGGTACACGTGTGTATATGCACATGTGTGTGTGGGTACACGTGTGGGGGTGCATGTGTGTGTGGGTGCACATGTGTGCGGGTGCACATGTGTGTGGGTACACGTGTGTGTGTGGGTGCCTGTGTGTGTGGGTGCACATGTGTGTGGGTACATGTGTGTGTGGATACACGTGTGTATGTGCATGTGTGGGGGGGTGCACATGTGTGTGGGTGCATGTGTGTGGGTACACGTGTGTATGTGCACGTGTGTGTGGGTACACGTGTGTGTGGGTGCATGTGTGTGGGTACACGTGTGTATGTGCACGTGTGTGTGGGTGCACATGTGTGCGTACACACGTGTGCAGGTGCACATGTGTGTGGGTACACATGTGTGTGTGTGGATACACATGTGTATGTGCACGTGTGTGGGGGTACATGTGTGTGTGGGTACATGTGTGTATGTGCACGTGTGTGTGTGGGTACATGTGGGGGGTGCATGTGTGTGTGGGTGCACATGTGTGGGTATACATGTGTGGGGGTGCACATGTGTGTGTGCACATATGTGCGGGTGCACGTGCGTGGGTGCATGTGTGTGGGTGCACGTGTGTATGTGCACATGTGTATGTGGGTACATGTGTAGGGGGTGCATGTGTGTGGGTACATGTGTGTGGGTGCACGTGTGTATGTGCACATGTGTATGTGGGTACATGTGTAGGGGGTGCATGTGTGTGGGTACATGTGTGTGGGTGCACGTGTTTTTTTTTTTTTTGAGACAGGGGCCTCAAGCTGTCCCCCTGGGTAGAGTGCCATGGCATCTCAGCTCACAGCAACCTCCAACTCCTGGGCTCAAGCGAGTCTCCTGCCTCCGCCTCCCAAGTAGCTGGGACCACAGGCACCTGCCGCAACGCCCAGCTATTTTTTGGTTGCAGCCGTCATTGTTGTTTGGCAGGCCCGGGCTGGATTTGAACCTGCCACCTTGTGTGTACATGGCTGGCGCCTTAGCCACTTGAGCCACAGGCGCTGAGCCGGTGCACGTGTTTTCAAGTGGGCGTGTTGTTTTATTCTTCTCCTAGTACACAGCCAGTTATTCCAAAGCCTTTTTTTCCCAGTAGTCCATTTCTGCCCCTACCAATTTGAGATGCTGCTTTTACACTTATTAAATCTCCTTAAGCCTGTATCTATTTTTAGACTGTTATGTTCCATGGATTTATTTGTTGATAACTATTGGATTTTACTGTATTATCATATCTGGTAGGGAGTCTTCACTCATCTTCTTTTTCTAAATTTTTAAAATTTTTCTTGGGTGTTTCCTCTTCCAGATAAACCTTATAATACTTACTATGAATTGATTTGCACCTATGTGCATTTTATAGAACAAGTTAGGCAAATACTGAACTAAAACACCGAGCCTTCCATTCCAGCACATGGCTTTCTGGGTTGTTGCTGCTGTTGTTTAACTCTTTGGCTTCTTTAGGAAGATTGCTTACTTCTTTCACATATGTTTTTATGCCATGTTTTGTGCTGTGTGGTTTTTTGTCTGCCCTCTAGTTCCACTTTCCACCCTCCTCCACCCTATTGAGTCCCAGGGAGGCTGACCAGATGGCAGGAGGGGGGACAGTGAGCTGGGTTGCCTCTCCTGGGCTAATCTGCACTGAGTTCCCTGTCCTTTCTGAGGTGGCCTCTTCTCCACAACGCTCTCCTCTTGGAATCCTGTAAAGAGCCTCTCCCCACGTGGCCCAGCTTGCAGTCGCTGCTGCCGCACTGTCCCACTAATGCCCTTCTTCCCTGCTCCATCCTTGTAAGTATTCCTTTTGTTAAATGCACCTCCAGTTTTCCTGATTTGAGCATGCTGTCTGTTTCCTGCTAAGACCCTGACCCAATACAGTCCCCCAAATTTATCATCTATTTCTACGTGTTTTGTGATTTTTCCTGGTATTGTAAATAGTTATTTTTCCCTCATACTTTCTAGATGTTCATTTTTGTACCTGTGTTCTGATCTTGGATCCAGTCATCTTCTGAAGTCTCTTCATAGCTCTGAGAGCTTTTCACTTGATTCCCTTTTCTTGGTACAGCATCACTTCTACCATCTTATTTGGTTAGAGCAGGTAGAGGGCAAGCTCAGACTCAAGGGATGGGGAAGGGACTGTGCCTCTCAGTAGGAGGGTGGCGGGACCACTCTGCAGAGAAAGATGTGGGAAGGGAGAGGCCATCCTGGTGGCCATCTTGGGAGTCTTTAGGGGTTCAGAAACTGCCGTACCTTCCTTTGTAATATTTGTGCCTTTTATCTTTCTCCAGTTTTATTGTATGACTAGAATGGCATTGACTAGTACAGTTAATAATGGCTACTCTTATGGTGTTCTTGATTTTCATGGGGTGATTCTGTGTTTTTCCATTTAGCATAAATGTAGTAGGTTTGTAGTAGGTTTCTGGGGGATATCCTTTATCAAATTGAGAAAGGTTCCTTGTATTTCAAGTGTACTAAAAGTTTTTTATTATGGATGAATGTTGAAACTTATCAAGTATGTTTGGGGCATTTATTGAGATGTTCTATGGCTTTATTACTTTAATGTGTATGATCTTTTTTCTTTGATTTTTTCTCTGTTTTTGATACACTTTGAGTTATTCTTTTAAAGAGCATGGTGGGCAGTAAAGTTCCCAAATCTGTTCCTATTCAAGAAGTTTTCAATCTGTCTTCGTACTACACACTTGTTGGCTGTGTACAGAATTCTTGTTCAAGTTATGTCTCATCAAAATATTGTTTGTACTCTCATTGTCTTCTGGTATCCAATGTCACTGATAAAAAATAATCAGATAGTAAGTTAATTCTTGGTCCTTTGTAAATAAATGTGTGTTTGTTTCCTCTCTTTCTTGAGAATTAAATTTTTCAATCCTGAAATTCTGGAAGTATACTAAGTATCTTATGCTTCCTTTGACAGTTTTTCTTCTTTGATTTCATTAATTATTTATCCCCTCTGTTTTCTCTGTCCTCTGCTTCTTAGATCCTCTTCAGATGGATGTGGATTGGCTCTTTTGAACTGATTCTTCAATGTCCCTGAACACACCTGCAGTGCGTCTTACTTACCATCTGAGGTCGTCTCTATCTTGTCTTGTGAATCCCTAGCTCCGTTCTGTTCTCCAGGTCTTCTGTTGGAAGTGTTCTTTCCCCATTCGTATGTTTCACTTCCATGTCTGCTCTTATTTTCTTAGTGCTCCTTTTGGTCAGCGTGTTTGTTATGTTCTAGGCAAGACGCTTTTTGTATCTCCGAGGACACCGTGCGGAGTCTTTTAAAAACTCCCTCCTGTCTCCTGAATAACAGATGCTTCCTCTGTGGCGGCTTGTAGGTTTCTCCATTCTGGTCTTTCTTATTTGTGAGTTTTCCTCCAAAGTCTGTCCATGTGATGAATGGAAGATTGGATTATCAGTATGGGCAGCTGGCATGGGCATCCTCGACAGTCGTGCCTGTGTCTCTGTCACTGGCAGGGCCGTCTGCCACTCTGTCTACTTGGGAGGGGCAGCCATCGTCTGGCCTCCAATTGTGTGCTTGGTGGGTAGGCGGGGGTCATCAGATGACCCAAGGCAGGAAGATTTAAGCTAAGGGTAGAGTTTCTTTCCAAGGAAAATTTTCCTCCAATGTAAAAAACTACCTTACCCCTCTCCATTACACATGCATTCTTTTAAAAAAATTTTTGTTGTTGTTGCTTTTTTAAGGGACTGGGATGGGAGGAAAATTAGATGCACATGGCCCATCTGCTGTTTTGAGCTAATAATCTTTGTTGGCTCTTTGCTTTTTGTTTTTCAATGACTTCTCAGTACTATACTTACCACTCATTTTATTTTATAATGAGGGATGCCTCCTTGGTAATTAATGAAAAGTCTTATAATATAAAGGCTGTTACAGGGTCGATCCAGATTGAAAGGTTGCCAGAGTGGCCTTGGGGTACCACCACTGGCCAGGTTACCCGAGATTGATTCCTCTGTGCTTCGTAGCAGAAGCTGGACAGACAAGGAACCTGGAGGGGCTCGGCCAGAGACTTCACAGTGTTCATGAATTTGCTAAGTGCCAGCCTGACTCGTCATAGAATACATCAAGGTCCAGGCATGGTGGTACATGTCGTCCCAGCTCCTCAGGAGGCTGAGGCATCCTCCAATTTCTTTTCTCAAAAGTGTGCTTATGAAGCCATTTTTCTGTGGAAAACAAGAAGAAACATAATCGATGTTTTCCAGCCTGCACATGATTTGATTTTTCCTGCATTTTAGATGTGTTGACTGCTCCTGTCATCAGAGAGAGTCACACTCACTTTGGGTCACTCCCCTTAGTCCCTATACCCAATAGTGTGCGCTACTGGGAAGCCAAGCAGGACTGGCTGAACCAGAGCACAGTTCACAGGGATAAGTCCCAGGTTCCCAGAGCAGAGCAGGGACAAAAGCAGGGGACCGGGACTGGGCCTGCAGAAACAAGAGGAAGTGCCAATATTTCCTTTTACACACACACACACACTCATCAGTGCATTCAGTTCCCTCCCTGCATAAAAACATTGTACATCAGAAGAGCAGAAAGTTTAAAGGGTGCATGTAGATGAGGCCCAGGCTCACAGTCTGACTGTAGCCAGCCAGCCACGTGTGATAAAGCGTATGACTTGGGATGGCACAGTTCCACATTGACAGGTGAATAGTAACAAATCCAGAGAATGCCGCTGGGTCTGTTTGCTGGACTTCTAAATTTTACACTTGCTGGCCAGCTTGTGCTCGGCTTTCCTGGCAGTGGTGAGGGGCTGCTGTCTTGCCTGTCGGTCAGCGGGAGAGACCCAGGGCTCTCCAAGGTGTTGGCAGCCATGCGCATGTAAAGAACAAATTGCACAGCTTGCAGCCATCCTCAAAGATGCTCCATCAGAACAAGTAATTTTTAAGAAACATAATTATTTCTAGTTTAAAAAAATTATAAGCAAGACCTCATCTCTACAAAAAATTTAAAAAATTAGCCAGTCATGGTGGTACATGTCGTCACAGCTCCTCAGGAGGCTGAGGCAGGAGGGAGGATAGCTTGAGACCAAGAGTTCAAAGTTACAGTGAGTGAGCTGTGGTCACACCACTGAGCTCCAGCCTGTGACAGGGCAAGACCCTGTCTCAAAAGAAAAAAAAATTACAATGACAGTTAGGTGGTAGATATTGGGAGGGAAAAACACTTATTACTGAAGTACCTAAGGTAATTTTTAAAAGACATTTATCGCCAAATGCTTGCATTTTGTTCCGAGTGCTTGTTGAAATCATCCTTCCCTGCCTTCTCTAGGACATCGAGTACATACGAGCCCATTACAACATTGAAGATTTCATCTACTTCAGTCACCACCAGCGCGAAGAACACGGGCACTTGTACCACTTTGCCCTCAACCCCATTTTCCGGCACTACACCAAGTTTTTTCTGAAGGAGATCCTTCGTTTGGGCTACAAGTCCTGTCTTTACTACCCTGTTTATCCCAGATCCAGGGACGGCAAGGTGAGGGAATGTTGTCATCCGCTTTCCCAGCAGCTCAACTCAGCCGCAGCTGCATCTCAATTTCCAAGGGCCCTCTGGAGTTTGGCCCTTTTCTGATACTACAGAAGTCCAGAAGGCTTTGAATTTCTGAAACAGTAGCAACCAATAGGATTAGTAGAATAATTTGTTGGCTTTTCTATACTAAAAAAACCGAGCTGAAAACTATGCAAAAATGCCCTAAGAGACTTGAAAATCTAATTATTTCTTACGATGTGTTAGTGCAATGCCAAAGTGTTCCTGTCATGTTCCTTCAAAGGATGTTTCAATGATGAATCCATGGGAAAAAATTAGTTCTGTTCTGTTTGCTATCACAGCTTTCCAAATAAGCATATACCATTGGATAAAAGTGGTGGCTAAACTGTGGAGCGCAGTGGCTCACACGTGTAATCCCAACACCGTGAGAGACCAAGGTGGAGGGACTGCCTGAGCTCAGCAGTTGCAGACCAGCCTGAGCAAAGCGAAACCCTGTCTCTACCAAAAATAGGAAAAAATTAGCCTGCTGTGGTGGCAGGCACCTGTAGTCCCAGCTACTTGGGAGGCTGAGGCAGGAAGGTCATCCTTGCCCAGGAATTTGAGGTTGTTGTGAGCTATGATCATGCTACTGTACTCTAGCCTGGGCCATAGGAGCGAGACTGTGTCTCCCCCCACTCTCCCTGCTTAAAAGTGGGGCTATATTATCCTGATGTAACTCTTATGTAGTAAATACTGTATAATCCTGTATAGTACTTGTTATGCTTGCAAAGAGTACCAGCGTTGTAGTAGATATGAATTTAATGCACCTCACTTACATCTGTATCCCCTGGCCTGCTTGAATTTTCCTCACTGCATTTTCACTAGTTAAAATCACCTATTTTGCCATAAATTTTAGCAGAAGCATTTGTCTGTCTTGTTCAAAGTGTATTCCCAATGCTTAGAAGAGGTACACATGCACACATTCACACATGCACCCTCACACACACATACCCTCTCACACACATATACTCACACACACATGCACACATTCACACATGTACCTTCACACACACACATGCACACATTCACACATGCACCCTCACACACACACACATGCACACATTCACACATGCACCCTCACACACACACACATGCACACATTCACACATGCACCCTCACACACACACACATACGCTCACAGACACATTCACACATGCACACATTCACACATGCACCCTCACACACACACATGCACACATTCACACATGCACCCTCACACACACACACATACGCTCACAGACACCTTCACACATGCACACATTCACACATGCACCCTCACACACACACATGCACACATTCACACATGCACCCTCACACACACACATACGCTCACAGACACATTCACACATGCACCCTCACACACACACACGCACCCTCACACACACACACGCACACATTCACACATGTACCCTCTCACACACACACTCACACACACATGCACACATTCACACATGCGCCCTCACACACACATGCAGGCTCATACACATACATGCGTTCTCACACGTGCACTCACACACATACACACACGTACTCGCCCACACAAACACACTTTCACTTTCACATGCATTCCCACATACACAAATGCATTCACACACACAAATGCATTCACACATGCACTCTCACACACATGAACCCCCATGCACACAGCACTCTCACATATGCACTTCACACACATATATACATTCACACATACACATACATGTACTCTCAGGCGCACACATGCACTCACACACATACACATACATGTACTCTCACACATGCTCATGCACTCGCACACGTTCACATGTAGTGTCTGGTTGTTCCATAGGCAGAGGCCTAGGCAAGCTGGAGCCCCAAAGGGTTGTTTCCTGTAAATTATTCTCTTGGTTACTGACAGCATTGGCCTTAACTGTTTCAGATTCAAGGCACCTCCTCCCTGGAGATGGTAGTGGTTGTCCCCTCAGATTCCATTCCTGTCCTCAGTCTTCCTCGTGTTCTGCCTGCCTTTGGCAGTGTCCTATTTCTTCTTAGTTACCACAGGTTGCTGAGTAGATTTTAAATATACTGTGTTATGTGTATAACACAGTATGTGTATATACGACAGTATGTGTCGATGCATATATGTGTGTGAAGTGCATATGTGACCTTCTTTATAAGACTATTTACCGAACAATCTGAAGAGTACTAGCACATAGACATGACAATAGTTTTGCTGATGTACTTTACTTAACAAAAGCCTTTTGGGAAAGTCCAGAGGGAATGAGGAAGAAAGCAGGAAAGACATGAAAGGGAACGTTAGTGAGAGGCAGACCCAACTCCAGGTCTGGGGCAACTCTAGGTTTTTCCCGTCAGAATGCAGCCCAGTAATAACGTGACTGCACCAGATTTGAACTCAGTGAGGTGGGAAGATAGAAGTTTTGCTGAACCACCTTGACCCTGTACCATCTCCTTTCACTTTGCACTTGGCCAAATGTCAAATTTGTGACCTTCAGGATGTGGTATTAAAGTCTTGCTTTTAGTCATGATCTTGTCTAGATGTGCTGGGTTGGAAAAGGTCCCTTTGTATCCCTAATGAGAATAACCCCGTGGGCATTGGTCACTGCACCTCGAGGTGCAGCATCAGCTGTGTGTTACGTGCTGTGGTAGGTGGTCTGTACTTCTGGTTGATTTACACACATGCATTTAAAACAAGTATAAGAAGTAGTTCCAAATAATTTGGGTAAGAAGTCCCAAATTCTGCTATTAATCCCCAGTTGACTGCAATAAAGTTGAACTTTTTGGCTCACATTACGAGGGTGATTTTTTTCATAACCCCTTGCCCAGGCCATGTATTAAAAAGATCTTCTAGGCATAAAAGTAGTGCACTGGCTAAGCATTCCCAGTTTCAGGTTTAAAAGTCAGAGTATGTATGAAGCTTAATGGTGAAAAGTCATAGAAAACCCCTTTTAAAGCTCTTAGAAATGCCCGAATACATTACATGTAAACCATGTACTAAAATGCATCTACAATTCAGTTTTACTTTCTTTTCTTTCTGACTTAAATTCAATAAATATACCATTAAAAGTTTTGGTGTCACAATACAACTCTTGAGGTTTAAATGGTTGTAATGCTGTGAGCTGGATTCACTAAAACCCCTAAGATTTCATCAGTGTGTGAGGAACCGAAGTCTCCATGTTCAGTTTTCTCTAACAAGTTTAAAAACTGGGTAAAATTAATATTTAAAGCTTTCTTCTAAAACATCATTTATCAAAGCTTACTTCATTAAGCATAAATCCATCCCATAACTTAGTATAAGTCAAAATAATATAACTGACTTTTCCCACACCCACTTTGTGGTTTTATCTTTTTGTTCTAAAACTGATTTTATTAAGAAAGGTCCAGTTGAAGTCACTGTGAGCGACTTTTCACATCCGAGCGGAGTGGCCCCTTGAATGGCATTTTTATCTATGTGCCCTCTGAAACAAGCTTGTGCCAAATGTACAAAGGTTAACGGGAGACAGATAACACAGCTTAGTGGGGTCAGATCAAGCTGATTCATGATCACCGTGGAGAATATCCTCCTGGGGAAAATACTTGTACTGAAAAATCCCATAAACCAAACCACTTGTTTATCTGTCATTCCCACAGAGATGGTGATGTAATTACTCTCATAATTATCTTCATTAGTGTCAGGCATTATCTACAATTCATTCCTCTGCTCGGAGAGTATGTTTGTTTATTTGCCGATTTTTTTTCCCTCTCTGACTTGGCTGAGTTAAGAGTTTTGTATTTGTAAAGCTGCACACAGACATCTGTGCTGCGCCCCTCTGATGTTCTCTGCCCTGAAATATAGATTGCTGTCTTTCAGTTCCAGAACCCCTACGCCCACTCGCTGACATCTGCCCTTCATTATTTGGTTCCCGTGCGACCACGACGACAGATTGTCTATCCTCTGGAAAAGCTTGGCATAAACGCTCCATCAAAGGAGGTCTCCAAGGATCTGGTGCGTAGCAGGGCGGCAGGCAGGGAGGCGCGGTGCCAGCTCCCGCGGGCCTGGCAGATGGGGTGGCTGCACTGCCTTTGCGGGAGCAGGCTGCTTCTTAATTACAGGGAACCTGGTGCTCATACCCTTACAGGCAGCACCCTGCAAGGGCTCCCCCGCAGCCGGTTCCCTCAAGTGGTTATTTGATGGCAAGCCTAAGACAGTAGCCACTTGATCCTGCAGAGGGTCACCACCAGGATGCCCCCACCCCCGCTGTGTCCCGGGACAAAAGGCCTGGAGTCACCCTCTCAGCGTATTTTGTTTTCTTTCCCTTTCCTCAAAAGCAGACTCCCCCTTTCAATCAGTGTTTTAACTTTCAAGGCATTAAGTGGTCATTGGCGTCAGGACAAAGCTGGCAGCAGAGGCAGAGCTGGCTGTTTGGGTCGGGGAAATCAGGAGGATTAACAGGAACACACTACCTGCCTGGGGCAGCAGGAATTTCTGACTTAAAAAGGGATGGGACACTCTTATTACCAAAACAACAGGAGCTGGAATAGAACCTAGATTTTACTTTTCAATGGAAATATCCCCCTATGCACACTCACAGCCATTTTCAGTAACTTAGCTGGAAAACATGATTTGGTCACACTGACTGACATGTGGACTTATAATATTTGTGTATACTTCTACTTAAATAAATCTTTAAAAAATCCCTCAGCGGGCTAACATATGTCCCTTGTGAGAGAGAAAAAAGGAAAGTGTAAGTTTAAACTCTCGAAACATTTAGCCCGGGGGTTGTTCATCAGAGCTGGAGACAGTGCTCAAGTGAACACCTCGGGCCAGCCCAGCACCCCTGCACTGCCCCGCCCCTCCACACCCCCAGCCCAGCACCCCTGCACTGCCCCCACCCATACCACCCCC